GAACACTACATCAAAAACTAATGATGTGATGTATGGTGATTAACATAACAATAAAAAAATTTAAAGAAAGAAAAAAAAGCAATGTATTCATTTTATTCTGAAAGTGTCACAGTCAATGGCGTGAATGTGGCGGCCTCTGGCCCACAGTGTGCATCACTGCCATATGCGCATCCGGGGACTCCTCCGTGATCCCGATGTCACCTCTTAGCAAACTGTGCCACCACGGGTGTGGCTCCCCTTCTCTTGGCCTCCCTAGCTGCTGTCCTCCTCCATCCTGCACAGACCAAGCTCACAGATGCTCCACGACACTTCTTCTTTCCCCAGCCATCAATGAACCTCCTGAAACACTACCTTGGCCACGTCATTCCTCAGCTCGAAAACCTTGGAAAGCTCCCAGTCTTCCAAAGAAAGCCCACTTCACCTGCTAGGAGCATTTGGAGCCTGCCCATCTGACTTCTCCCGTTGCCTCCTCGGCAGAGCTGAGTGCAGCCCCTCAACAAGCTGCATTAACTACATCCGTCCTATTTTTAAGCCACTCCCTTTTATAAATTCCACATATCCCTGGTAACCTCATTTAAGGCCTGTCTTTTCCTCAAAACCCTCCTTTCCCTTGCTGAACTCTTGTCTTCTGCAGAGCCATGAGCAGTCACATGGTCAGATGTACAGACGGACAATGGACGTGTGGGTTAGGAGACACAATGCAGACCAGATACACGTACCGATCCATGATCCATGGTTTCATTCCCAGAGAAGTGTGACAGGTGATCAAAAGCACGATCTGTACATCCAAAGGAATTTTGAGTAGTTCATGCATTTTCTTACACCACAGAGGCCCCTCGTGGGTTGTGGTAGCTCCCGGTCTCCTTTCTCCCTTGGTTCTTGCTCTCAGCTTCGAGCTGAGCCTGGGCTGTGTCCATCAACCCCGCCCAGAGGAAGGCCTCTCCTTCCTCTCTTCCTTCAGGTCCCCCATCTCAAAGCCCCAGAGGCTGTCTGACAAGGAGGGACTCTCTTTGAAGGGAAGGAAGAGAAGGGTGTGGGAAGCCAGTCAAAATCCTTTCCAGAGGGCAACAGAGGAGGTAGCCAGGAGTGTGCCCATGCGAACACATCCTATCCAAGCATCCACGTGTGTGTGTGCGCATGCACTTCATACATACATACACAAAAACTGGAGTTAATTTTACAGAGATTGTGTCTTATATACCTCCAGGTTCCGTAGAGCTAATAATAGATAAGGGCTTTTTCACTGCAGGTGGATAGACTTGGGAGACCATAATCCACCCACACTATGTAAAAGTCTGTAGAATTGAGTCACCTTGTATGAGGCTTTAGTGTAGTGTGTGTTTTCAAATCAGAAAAGGATTGTAATTATTTATGTTATGATTTGAAAATAACAAAATTTGCATGTTCTAGATTCATAATTATAATTATTTAAACCATAAAAGTTTGTGTTTCTAAGGTGTCTTGAGTTTGTAGACTGCTCTTTGACTTGATTATTACAACCTTCAGCACAAGAGAGGATATGTATAACCCTAAATCTTACAAAGAGACTTGGGTCCTACTTGATCTCATTGTTTTGTAATCATCTTTACCAGTGTACTTTTCCCTATTGTTTCTTCAGTTCTGGGTGTTGAATATAAGTAGCTTTAATGAAGGTCCTGTGCTGGCTCAGGGGGTCAGTGTTCACGCTATGATCTGCCCCTCAAGGCTCGGTCTAGGGCACCCCTAGGCAGGCAGAGGTGGGATTGTTTCCATTATTGAGATCACCTGCCAGCCACCTCTGCCTGCTCCACTTCCCTAGGAAACCTTTAGAGAGGATGAAGGAAGCGACCGTCTTTCTTTCCATGTTCCAAAGAACACTTTTCTGTATAAAAGATGCCCTAAATCCTTTGTAAGGTCCACAAGCTAAGCAGTGCCTCTTTAAGTGCTTGTCAGTTGTGACACAAATCATGGCCTCTGCTGGGTCTCGTCCCCGTTTCCCAGGAATAAAGAAGTCAGTCTGTAAAACTGCAGCAGGACCTGCGTTCAGGTGGGGCGGCTGCCAGGAGGGGCAGGGGGCTGGCCATCTGACCGTGATGTCAGGCTCAGCATTAACTCAGAAGCAGAGAAAAGATGCTCATGTCCCTCATGCCTCGAGGCAGGCAGATTGGGGCGAGGAAGAGAGGAAATGTCCGTGATGCTGGGGTTGGTGGGTGAGGAGCCGTCATGGCCGTGGCGAGCGGGAGCCCTTTCCCAGGGCCAGCACCTGCCCCGTGTTGACTGTGCATGGCTACACCCAGCATTTCCCGTGCTGCGAGCTTATTCTGTGGGAGTCCCCGAGCAAAGGCACAAGCACTTGTGAAACAACTCAAACATTTATCAGTAGGGGTGGATGAGGTAAACCCAATATATTCAGTGCCATGGACTATCACGCAGTGTTAAAGCGCATCGTAGTAGACAGGCAAGATTCACACAATCCGTCTTCACTAAAGAAGCAAGTTGCAGAAGTTTCTACACGATATGACTTAATTTCCATGAAGAAGAAGAAAGGGAGTGGGGAGAGAGAGGTTTGCATAAACATAAAGGAAAATATTGGGAAGGTCAGTTACTCATAATATTTAGCTCTCGAAGGGACAGGAGCAGATGGAATTGTCAGTAATATTTGCCTATAATATTTGAACTTTTATAACTCCTCTGTATAACTTCTGTAACCTGAAAACCTGAAAAAAGCCACTTAAAAGCCACCTTTTTTGACCAGAAAGGAGCACGACCATTGTGGAGAGGAGGGGTCGCTCACACCTCTGCCGTCCCTGCAAGTGTTCCTCCCTTCAGCGTCGGGACCGTGTTCCTCACTGGACCCCTCCACCTGCCCTCAGCTGCCCCGGGGGCTGGGGCCGAGGCCGTGCGCCGAGGCTCCTCTCCGCACTCTGCTCGCAGGAGACTCACCAGAGGCCGGTCCGCCTCTCCACCTCCCGTCTGGCTCTTGAGAGTCTGATTTTCGCAGCGTGCGGTGTTCCTCTTGAAGGGAAGCACTGGGTGAGCATGGAGTGTGTGGACGTAGATTCTATCTGCCTGTGGCACACAGGCTTGGGGTCTGCTCGAAGACACATACACACGTGCACGCACACGTGTGTCAGCCCTGCCCCTGTTAGCAGCTTCTCAGGTTCTGTGGCTGGGGTTGGGCGTGTGCGGGGCCCCCACCCCTCTGGCTGCCGGAGCCGCCTTACGCCACGGCGACTGCAGACCGGGGTGCTCCAAGGAGGATGACCTGGCGGGCGGCCTACACGTCCTGGGGAGAGGTGGCTGTTTCCAGTGCCCTTGAAGGCGCCATGAGCCTTCTCTCCCTCCTCCATCCAGCTCTGCTCTACGTGCGGGGAGATTTCCTCTGACGGTGACGGCCCTCAGCTAACAAGTGTGCGTCTGTCCTCAGTTTGAGACCCTAGGACCTCAGGATGTGCAGGCCAGAGTGAATGAACCTACCAGCCTCTGGACAGGAATCAGGTTTTACTGAAGTGCTTACACACAGCGGGCGTTCCACACACATTTACAACGTTTTCAGACGACATATGTTGACTCTTCCGGCACCTGCTCCTGCTATTAGTAAACATTCACTTTCCCGCTCCCCTTCCCTTTCCCGGCAAGACAGACCAGTTCACGTCTGCTGGGCTTGGCGCACACCAGTGAGGAAGATGCACCTCTAACACCCACACAACCCGTGGCCCCACATAAACCTGGGTCTGGCTCTCCAGTCGGTCACGTGGCTCTGGTTACAGTGGCTCATCTGAGGTGGGGGCCCTGGGTCCTGGTGGCCTTTGGACACAGTTGCTCCGCTGTCCCCATTTGTCCAGGCTTTTGTCACCAACATGAGCTGTCCTGAGCTGCTCTGACCGCCCCTGCCGGCCAGGTCCTGCTCCCTCATGCTGGCCAGGTTCTAGGATGCCTCAGGAAGAAGATGTCATGGCCTCAGTTTTGGGGGCATCAGTATCATAAAAGGGGTCGAATCGCTGAGTCCAGCAGCTGGGCTCTCCTCGCTGGCTTCTTGCTCCCTCTGCAGCTGCTCAGCCACTCAGACCTAGCTCCCAAATCTGCAAACATCAAGGGAACTGGAAACCAGGACTGCTGCTTGCCAATGTTGGACAGAAGCACTCAACACAGTTTTATATTTTGTTAGAATAATTCTCCATTTAAACAGAAATGACTGTAAGGTTATTTTCATTAAAAGGAGAATAGGTTTCTGCTCCCCCCAGATAAAATGCCTGGTGTCTTTGTTGCCCTGACAACCAGGTCCTACAAGCTTGGCCACAGGTCACCCAACCCTCTCACCCTCTTGGGGGAGGGGGCTTGCAGTGGTCTCAGGGGGAGTCCTCGATGGTTGGGAAGCCCTCATAAACACAGATGCCCTCGAGGGGTGACACACCACCCGCTGCCGTTTTCATCTGACACCCTTCTCTGCACTTTTCCTGGTGGGCGAGCAGGAAGAGGAGGCCCTGGGGCAGGTGGGGAGAAGCAGGGGCACCCAGCAGAGATGGGTTCTGCTGCTCTGGGTCCGTGTCCTGCAGACAAGAGGGCTGCCCTAATCAGGACAGGGCAGGGGGAGGCCAGTGCTGGGGGTCATGCAGAGGGAGTGTCCAGCCCCCAGCTCAGGCCTTTGCCCCCTGCCCAGAACTGGCACCGAAATTAGAAAATTCCCTTGTTTTCCTTCCATGGTGGCTGGACCCAAGTTCTGGGCCACTGTACCTCATTTTAGGGACCATTTCTGTCTCCCTATTCACTTTGAAAATGGGCCCGTCTGCTTGGCCAAACATTATGAGCAAAATTACCTACATGCTGGAGTTTAACACAAATCCGACTAAAGTCCCAGTCAGTTAGAAGGTAACGCCAGCTCCAAAGATGGGATAAGCAGAGACCAGCTCTAGCGTGCTACCGCTGCATCGCCCACCAGGGCTCTCCTGCTGGGGGAGGGCCGCCTTTGGCGGCCCGCATCCCAAGGGCTCTGGGGAGTCCCTCTGCAATGTGGCCGTGCACTAGATGACCGAGGTCTCTGTCTGCAGGAAGGACGGGGCGCGGGAGCCTCGGTGGAACTGCAGGGCGCTTTCCGAGCCGTTCCTTGAGACGGACAAGCTGTGGAGCCTGCAGTCCCAGCCGCAGGGCTGGCTGCGGCACAGGCTGCGCCACTTCCTTTTCAGCTCGCTCTGCACCTGGGGCGAGGGCGAGGCAACGAGGAAGTGGGGGTCAGGCAAACGTGGGAGCTTACAAACATAAACTTGGGGGCCGGTCGGCGCTGACAGGTCTCTGACCCACCCCTCTCCTCTGGGGTATCTGTAGCAGAGAAGGTGCGGCCCAAGCAGCAAGCTTGGGGTTTTCGTGAGTCAGGTAGGGAATCGGGACTTGGGAGCCAACTGAAGGAGGTGAAGGAAAGCAGGCACGGGAAGGGCTTTTGAACTGAGGGAGGGCAGAGGTGCAGGCAAGAGCATCAGGGGGCGGTTGGCCACACAATGTTGGGCAGGTGAAGGCATGTGGGAAAGGAGCAGAGCGGGGCAGGGCTCAGAGGGACTCGCGCACGTACATCCTGACAGCTGTGGGCAGGGGGCTCAGGGAGCAGGGTGTTCCCATCCATGTGCCCGCCCCTCCCCACCGGGTTCTGCATCTCCCGATATCCGGGGTCAAGGAGCAAGAGAGTGACCATGCAGAGTGGCAGGGTCCTTCTCCACCACCCGGCCAGGGAGCTTTCTTGAGCTGGCCTGTGGGAGGGTGACCAATGATGCTTGGTGTGGAGAGACAGGCTTTGTGAACAGGGCTGGAAGGGATGGCAGGGGGTTTGCCCGGACAGAAGACCTGAGATCTCTTTCAGGTTGGGGGGCCACATTAGGGAATCCCACACGAGCCGAATGTCCCCCGAGGCGTGACAAAGCACTTACTTCACTGTTGAGAAAACAGTACAGAACCGCCACCACCAGGCCCTGCAAGCGAGAAAGGACCATCAGAGGCCTCTCACCAACTTGGGGAGGAGGGACAGTCCCTTCCCACACGAACCTGAAATGATCCGATGCACAATTCAAACAGGATCTGATATTTGGAGGAGATGCCAATAGGAAACACGGCAAACACCATGTAGTGAACTCCAAACAGCGGGATGAGCAGCAGTGTGGACTTGGCGAGCCTCCTGCAGCACAGAGAGTGATGTTGAGCGTGGCCAGGGAGCCTGTGGGCTCAGGAGTCTCGCATGTTGGCCTCACCGGTCTGAACCTTGTTTCTCACAAATTTAAGTAAAACCAACCTCCCCTGCCCAGCGATGGGCAGAATGTGCCAACATGGTGATAAAAATGCCTGTACCAGGGCGCCTGGGTGGCTCAGTCGGTTAAGCGACTGCCTTCGGCTCAGGTCATGATCTTGGAGTCCCGGGATCGGGTCCCGCATCGGGTTCCCTGCTCGGCGGGGAGTCTGCTTTTCCCTTTGATCCTCTTCCCTCTCGTGCTCTCTATCTCTCATTCTCTCTCTCTCAAAGAAATAAATAAAATCTTTAAAAAAAAATGACTGTACCTCACAACGCAGCAAAGCTCTTACAAGACCTCCTGACGGGTGCCCAGCCAATGACACTGGTCTGAGTGCAGTGTCCCATAACCAGCGTTGGTGGGGCAGAGGCAGGCCTGGCTTTCCGATCGCAAGAGCAGACTCAGCAGGGGTGCAGCCCCTGAGCACAGAGTGTGGCAGCAGGGCAGGCGACCCAGGCTCTGGGTGGCCTGGACCAACCAGATGTAATTGCTCTGTCCATCAAAGAGTTACTACCCTCCCTGATCAAAAATGCAGATTTTCTGCTCACTGCATTCTATGCTTGAAAGTAAAACAGCTGAGCTCACGTCCCCCTTTCCTGTAGCTGCTCTCCCCATGCCCTGAGCAAACACCATCTCTGTTCTCTACCTGGTGTTTCTCAAGCTTCAGCGGCACCAGGACCACCTGGAGGTCACGTCAGAAGGCAGATTGCTGGCCCCTCCTTCGGACTGCTGGCTCTGTGGGTCTGGGGTGTGTCTATCAGGTTCCTAGAGATGCTGCAGCTGCTGTCTAGGAACCCCACTTTGAGAATCACTGCTCTGAGCCTGGGACTCTCACTGCTGCACATTAGAATCATCCAGCAAACTTTTAAAACTTCTCAGTCCAGCATGCCTCCTCACTCCAATTAAATCAGGTCCCTGGGGGCGGGCAGGACCCGCACTGGTAGCTCTAACATTCTCCTGGGTGATTCCAACGTGTGGCCAGATTTGACCCTCGCAACTCCAGCATGGACAGGAGCATTGGGGTCCCCTGGGGGCTCGTCAAGAAGGAGGAGCTTGGCCCCCAGGCCAAGTCAGGCCACCTGGTGATGTGTGTGCATGTCAAGACCCCCTAAATGAACATCCGGTAGCCTCTGCAGTGACCCTGCAGCCTCATCCTGAGGATGAGGAGGCTCATCCTCCCTCGCCCTCCCAGCGAGGAGGCTCCACTCTGCACCTCCCTCACCTTCTCTTGTTTGTTGACCTTACCCAACGCTTAGAAAAAGTCATGAACTTCTTGACATATTTTTGAGGCACCCGCCTCAGACGTAGCACTCAGAGCCTGGGATGTAAGTTTTAGAAACGTGACCATTTCTCCTGATTTCCCTCACAACAAAAACCACGTCCTGTGGTGTGTACAAGTGGGATGTCCCGTTTCAGGCAATCTGTGCAAACCCCAGGAGCCCAGGCCATTCTGCAGCAGGGCATGACCTGGGCCTCATCAGCAAGGAAGGCCCGTCAGTAAGCATCACACTGCTGCCCGCTCATAGGTCCAAACATTTAACCTTACAGGGTTGCTGCATTTCATACCCTGGTTCAGCGCTAGCCTGGTGAACAGAAGTGGGTTGTGTAGGGAGCTGTGCCCTTTAGTTCAGTGTGAGACAAAGAGTCTGCCTGAATTCCCTTATGTACATCATGCTCATTTCTAGAGAAGAGTTTCTAGGGAGGCTGGACCTCTGGGACCCTGTTCGGGGGGGTTTGTTACTGTTATAAAGATAGTTGCAGAGAAAAGACATCAAGATACAACCAAAGGGCAGCATCACAGACAGGCTCTGCCTTTTTTGCCATCCTGGAAAAAGAACAGTTTCTATTTTCCTACTTAATTTTGTTTCTAAAATAAAAGCATATATCTCCAAGACGTACTGAATGAACACTCCCAAAAAACCCAAAGAAAAGGTCAGCATGGAAGCTAAACAAGACTAGCCAAAAATCAAACTTGATTTTGAAGAGCAACTGAGAGCAGGCCTGTCCCTGAGCTGCTGGTGCGAGTGGGCTCAAGGACCAGTACAGATGCTGCTCAGAGGGGGGAACACGGCTTTGTCCTTTGTGGTCTGATGTGGAATCCCATCTCTAGACCTGGCCTTCTGTGCAACCTCCTTGAGTGGACTGGGCAGAGAAAGGGATGCCTTGGGTTTTATGTGCCCTAGGGCACGGTCAGAAGGATCCGTGCACTAGACTTCCCCACAACACTTACTGGTGCCAGCACTAAATGTCTTTCAAATATTAACTGTATTAACCCTCCCAGCCTTAGAGATAATGACTATTATTTCCACTTTATGGATGAGGACACTGAGGCCCAGAGCAGTGAAGTCACATCACTCAGGCTTCCAGCTGGTGTGTAAGCCCAGCACTGGGTCCCTGGCTATGAGTGATGCTGCCTGTCCAGCTTCCAGGTCCACCCCCGGCCATAGTCAGGTCACCTGCCCAGGGTCACACAGCTCCAGGCGGCTGTGAATCCAAACTGGTCTATCTGAACCCGAGGCTCCCACTGGTAGGACCAATTACCCCGTGCTAAACTAGTTCTACTTTATAATAAAGTTGTGGGCTTTACTTTTTCTTTATAAATTCTCAACAGAAATTTATAGACTCTTTAAATTCTTTCATAGAGTCTTCAGGTCCTCATTAATGAGCTGGATGATTGTGGCGTGTTACTTAACCTCTGTTCTCTTTCCCACTGAATGGATGTGACGATAACCATCTTCATGAAATCATTCAGCCAATAAACATGAATTATTATTAAGTACAAGGCCTGGCGTTAGGTGCCAGCATGAACCATGTGGTCTGATGGGGAAAAAAGAATTAAGCATAAAATACAAATAATGTGTGGTCAAGGAGAAGAAGTCAGATTGCAAAACAGGCAGAGCAGGCAGAGTGCTTCCGTAAGCAAGCTCGCTAGAGGATATCCCTGCTGAAACCAGGGGCGGGGGCTTGGAATGACCACCATGGCAGCACCCTCCCTTGGAGAAGACACCAGCTGCCTTAGCCATGAGCACAGTCCCGCACCCAGAGGAGGCGAACTTGGGCCTTTGCTGCATGCGCAGACCCACGTCCTCCCTGACTCTAGGTTTCCAGGCCGCGGGAGGGTAGTGAGGGCAGCTCGGCTCCCGGACCCACACACATACTCACTTATACTGTGACTGGTCATTGCCGCCGACATCTGGGGACGTCAACTTCTGCAGTAAAATTCGTATGATACTAACAAAAAGGACAAAATTGACCTGCACAAATAGAGACCACATGTTTGTGTGGGATTTCGCTGCAGGGAGGGGGTGTGGCCGGGACGTCTGTGGCTCAGCCCCGCCTGAATCCTCTCTCCTCCCCTCTGTGACAGAAGTGCAGGAGCCCTGCCCATCCTGGGGCTGCCCTCCAAGTTGGAGTTGACTGTGTACCCCGACAGCATCATGTGTCTCAGGATCCAGGCTACAGGAGCAAGTCAATTCTGAGATGGGAGGTGGACAAATGACAATGTGATTCAGCTCCAACCCTGTGCAGTGCGTGGCTGTGACTTTCCTGCAGGGTTCCTCCCTGTGCCGGAGAACACGCCTCTCTCCCTCCACCCCTCCCCCTTCACTGAGCCTTCGTCCCGACCGGGACCTGAGTCTAGGACTGATGGAAGGAGCTGGGCCGCTGTGTGTGGGTCTTCTCTCAGAAGGTTGAGCAGAACGGGGCTATTTATATTTAATACAGGGAAGTGGGCTCCCTCTCTACTCAAGTGTGCAATGGATAGCTCATGTTTCAATACAGAAATTACTTACTATGATAGATATTAAAATTGGTGTCCGTATTACCCACCAGGGAACACTGTGGTCGTTGGTATCCCAACAACTATTGAAAAGAGAGAAGGAAAATCATGTTACCTCTGATTCATCCACAAACCAAGTGCATGAGGGCAAGTGCACTGCCTCTCAGCCCTTACACGGTACTGGCAAAACCAGCTGGACTCTCCCAACGCACGAGCTACGTGCCTGGTGTGTTTCGTGGCCCCACCTGAGGGCCCGTGAGTGCCGCTGTAGGGGCCGAGGTGCTCTGCACTCACAGGTCTGGATGCAACCTGTCCCTATCCAGTGACTTTGTTTCATGTTATTCTTCCTGACAGGACAGTCTGCTGATGGAGAGGTGGAGCAAAAGCAGAACTCCAGGACATGGGAGAAGGGGGAGACCAAGCTCCAGGAAAGGCCCATAACTTGGGAGTTGGTGTAGCTCATGCTCACTCTGGCCAACAGAGGGGAGTTTTTCTCCTGAAAATTAATTTCCTCTCATCTCCTGAATGGTTTGTATTTGTACCTTGAATGAAGGTTTGAAATGTCTTTGGAATAACTGAGGTAGGCACCGCTATAGGAACGTCTGTCTAGCCATGTTTTCACTCCTGGTTTCCAGCGTAAGCGCTGTCTCCAGGAGGAAGCTGGGAGAGGGCACTCACAATGTCTCCATTATTCCTCCCGCAGTGAGGCTCTGCAGCCCCTCCCAGCAAGGGCAGAGACCAGCCCTCGCCTCTGAATCCTAGCTGGTTTTGGCATTAGGGTGTGGAGCGCTTGGAACCCGCAGGATAGAAAAGAGCCTGCCAGTCGGTGCTATCTCAGACGTGCCGGCCCTCGGCCAACCCAGCAGGTGCCCACGGTGTGTGAGCAAGCCGGGCTGAGGCCAGAAGAATGCCGCGGGAGTCAGCCCAAGCTGCCAACGCACAGAAGCACACCCTATGAACTGCCATTATGTGAGCCACTCGGTTTAGGATGGTGCGTTACCAGTAGTAGATAACTGGTAGACTCTGAGAGCCCTTTATGAGGCACAACATTCATGGTGGGAACTTGGTACCTGAGCTTGGGGCCATGACCCAGCTGTATACATAAGATAGAAGAGCGTTGGACCCTGCTCAGGCTGCATTTTAGAGAACTATCTGAGAGTTGTGCCCCTGCTGGCCATTTTAACCTGGTCCGCTGGTCACCCCTCTGTACTTGGCTCCAGGCAAACAATGCATGCATTTTGCTTGGTTCCCTTTTGTGAAAGCTGCTTCCCCCACCTAAGGTGCTGGCCCCCTCTCTGCCTGGTTTACCCTAATCCCAGCTCCGCTGTAGGACCTGGTTCAGTTCCCATCCCTCACATGGATCTTCTCCAAATTCTGTTCCCTGCACCAACAGTCGTGAAGTCGGAGATCTTCTCATATGTGGGGTGTTCTGTGTCCCTCTCTCTGCTCAGCTGCAGCTGCAAATGCAAATCTTCCTTGCAACCAGATAGTAAGCTTCTTTCTCGTTTCCGAAGACTTAAGGATGCCAGCAACTTAGGCCAGGATTGCTCGACCTCATTTTAAAGGCAGAGGTATGGACCCAGCACTCACCCTGTGTCTTCTAAGGAGAGCCGGGCTGCAGTCCACGCCCCTATGCAGATGGTGGGGATGCCTGCAGAAAGACACCTGGTTACCACAACCTGCGCTACCTAACCGGGACAGCCCACCGGGACTCACATGTGCATCCTCGTTCACCAGCGTCAGCAAGGACGGGGGCTTTCTGATGGAAGGACCAAGTGGAAATGCTTCATAAACACACAGCAGTTTATGCTCATGCCTTACAAAGCACTGAAGATAAACATGTGTGGGAAAGCTAAAGCTTCACAGGTCTGCAAGGCGTCACCGTGCATTGTGAGTGTTGCTACTGGAGTGTGGGAGCCTGGCAATTACAGTAAGGGGTGCTCCTCACTGTGAACCTGGGGGGCCCACTGCTTACACCCCTTCCAATTCTGGCTATTGAAGGTCCTGCTAACTGGCGGGGAAGCCCTTCTCCTCCATGCCACTTCTTTCTGACTTTCCCACCACAGGGTATGCCCCAGGAATGGGACTTTATAGCAGTTTTAAACCAAGTTCCTGGTTCCTAGAAATATGAGGGTGCTGCCTATAGGAAACTCTAGTCGTGCTAGAAAAGCTCTTCCTAATATGACCAGAAGTGCATCCTAGAGGGGTAGGAAAGAGTTCTTCTGAGCTGAAAGGTCTGCATTTATAGGTGAGGGGGTGGAAATCAGGAACCTGGAGGGTTGGTGGGTGGCTGATGGGGCATCAGGCATACACAGGGGAGGACAGTCCTTACCCCATCCAATCAGGAGATAGGCTGCGAAGCGTCGGCTGGGGGAGAATATGGCCACCAACAGGGTGTGGAGGTATAGCCCCTCCACCAGGAGCCAGTAGAAGTTTGCCATGATGCAATACTGGAAGAACACGAGGCTCAGCTTGCAGCCAACCTGGAATGTCAGAGACAGAGCAAGAGAACACGGCCCCATTTGGATAGAACAGTTCACCGTGGGCAGAGTAGCTCCAGGACATAAGGCATGCACGTGTTTGTGTAAGGAGCCAAGGACACCAACACAGTGGTGTTGGCTAGAGATGTGCACCGTGTTAAAGTGAGGCCCTTGGCACGCACAGCCTTGGATCAGAACTCACTGGAAGATAAAACGGGCAGGGGGCAGATGCACACAGCCGCCTCTGAGAGCCGCGGGCTGAGGGACCGTGGCGGTGAGCGCACCTGCCTGCCCCTCCCCCACCCCTCCTCGGTCTGCATCCTCTGCCCAACCCGCTTTCGATTCTCCGTTTGTCCTCGCCACCCACTCAGCAAGAGACAGAAAAATAAAGGGCAAAACAAGAGAAACCAGCAAGCGTGTTACGTCCCCAGGCATTTTGAAAGAGTTTTCACTGGGAAAAACCAGGTAGTATATAAAACAAATATATTTTAATCTCTCAGACCTTCATATAAACATACCAGGTATTTTAGCCTCTTGAGTAAACATGAAACTGAGGGTTTTAATTGGCAAGTTTGTATAAGTGTGCTGAAAAAGAACAGAACTTCATTTCTATTCTTCTATATCTTTGCTGCCTCCCCCAAAATATGTATGTGTACAGGGAGATATCCACACATACTTACATGTGGATAGATGTACCTTTACATACGTGGATGTATTTTTATGTATGTATGTGAATATATGTCTGTAGGTGTGGACATATTTATGTATATGTGGACACACTTATCCACGTGCATGTATTTATATACATGTGCACACTCACTTGTGAGCTCCATCGGACAGAAATGAGACAACAGTGCACGGAAATATGTGTGCAGGGAGGGTTGTGGTGCCCATATCGGTGGAACGGTTAAATGCATGATGTCACAGCCTCACGCTAGGCTATCATGTCACCATTCAAACTGACACACCGGTTGGCCTGGAGGATTGCCATGATGTCGTGCTGAATGAGGACGGAAGATGCACAAACAGCGTGTTGAAGGTGACTCTGTTTTCTTGGTAAAACCGTAAAGCCACCACCCATGCATGTCTTTCCAGCTGTCCATTCCCCACCAGCACACTGTGAGGACAGGAGGTCTGGGGCGGGACGAGCTCTCTGCTCACTTCCCCTTCTTTGGCCGTGGTTTCAGATTGCATCCCTCGGGGTCGAGAGCAGGGTGGGAGGGCCTCCAGGGCCTGCTGCCACCCAGACGGCACAGCACAGAGATGCAGGCTGATCGCCGGGGCCCGTCCCCTGGGCTGGGGGCTTCCCAGCGCAGCACACAGCCAGAGTCGAGGGCATCAAGCCCTGTCTTCAGCTGGGGCTCCTGCTGAGGGTCGGCTCAACCGACCAACCAGGCCACCTGGTTGTTTGTTTTCTCTGGACTAGAATATGCTTTTCCAGGAGTCAGACGAAAGCCAACCAAAGCAGTGGCAGAGAAGGATGCCAAGTGTGTACACAGCTGGGCAAGGGTGGGGAAAGGAAGTGGGGTGCTGCCCCGTTTGGTGCTACGATCTAATACAAGACACTTGGCTTCGAGGCCAACTCCCTGAAAAGAAGATGAAAGTCTGCGCCCACCTCCAGGCTGTCAGAGGTAAGACTGGGTAACATACCCCACACCCTGCAGAAACATAAGTTGTTTCCCTAGTCCCTGGAAGACATATGGCATCTGTAGTGTTGATTAAAAACAAAAAACCGGGGCACCTGGGTGGCTCAGTCGTTGGGCGTCTGCCTTCGGCTCAGGTCATGATCTCAGGGTCCTGGGATCGAGCCCCGCATCGGGCTCCCTGCTCAGCGGGAAGCCTGCTTCTCCCTCTCCCACTCCCCCTGCTTGTGTTCCCCCTCTCCCTGTGACTCTCTCTGTCAAATAAATAAATAAAATCTTAAAAAAAAACCCCAAAAAACAAAAAACCCAGGATATTTTATTTAAATGTGTGAGAATACCACGAAGCAGCGGGCTACGAGACCTCACCACACAGTGCGCTGCAGAGCTGTGTACCCATGGGAATGCCCGCTTGTGCGCCTTCACGTGTCCTGGGTCCACAGCGGTGCCACACTTCAGGGTGGGGGGCTCCCACCGCACCACCCAAAGCCCCAAACCAGCCATCCTTCCAGGCACAGATCCAGACACAGACGGAATGAAGTCTGACGGTGTGTGTGTTCCTGTGTGCATGTGTGTCTGCACACGTGCTTGTGTTCATGCAGGTGTATACCTCTGTGATCATGTGTGTACGCGTTTTGGAGGCATGTGCATGCAGGTGCACACATACACATAAGCATGTTGATGGGCTCTCATTCCCTTCTCTTCTTCCTGACCCTCTGCCATTCTGACCTGGGCTGTGGGCTGTGGGCTGGCTTGGCAGCTCGCTGGGCCCAGGACTGTCCATGACATGCAGGTGCTCAGCCTCCAGCCTAAATCTTTGCCTCTCATCCCCTCCCCAGCCCACCTGTGACAGCAGGCAGTGGCCAGGCCCAAGCTTAGCTTTGGGCTGGGTGCATCCCTGCTTAGATGTTGTGGCTTCACTGCAGAATTCACGGCTGCCACTGTGTATATCCTCACCCGACCCCTCCCTGGGCTGGGTGGCACTCAGACCCTCAGGGAGTGCCTTGGAAAGCCTGAAGGTAGGTTTCTGAAAACCCCGATTGACCGCACATGTCATCCGTTCTGGTCTCAGTGAGAATAAACTGCCGGTGTCCCAGCCCACGCTGGGCAGCCAGGAGGAGACACACTGAGCCCAGGACTCACTGCTACGTCCAGAGTATGTGGGAAGAGGGGGCCAGTGGAAGGAGAAGCCTTCTTTTGAAAGGAAACAGACTCTGTCGAATTCTTGGCCTCTCCAAATGTCTCGAGAAATAGACCCTTGGACCTATTTGGGGGAGATTCCCCTAGTGTTCTGCTTGGGACAATAATGTTGGCTTGATACCCAGCTGAGAACAAAAATGTCCAAAAAATGCAACTGCAAGAAAAGACGTTTTCTCTGTCCCTCATGCTGAAGTCCGACTGTGTCTCTGACTTACTCAAGACCTTACCTCCTCTGGGGACAAGAAGAGGGAAGACCCAGTCCCGCCTCCTTTCCTCCTGCCTCTTGCCCCCACCCTTCTTCCCCTGTGGGCACACGTCTGGGTGACATCCTGCTGGAGGGGTGCAGCTAGGTCCCCTCCCCTTTGCTCTCATGGCTCCGGGGACTGGGCAGGGGAACCTGCTCCCTCCTTCTCACACTTCAGCCCTCACACCTGAATCCTCGGGCATTTCCATGCCAAAGTGTGCGGTGCACCTGCGGTTTGAACCCTGACCGTAGCCCCATCGAGCCCTTTGAGCTGCCGGGCTTCCTTCAGCTCTGTGCCCTCATTCACAAATGGGCAAATTGCTCTTTTGAAGGTCACTGGGCACTCACCAATGGTGTCCAGCCTGGCACTGGAAGATCCTCAAGAAATGGCTAGGTGGATGGGCAGAGGGGTCGGTGATTTCCAGCTTAGGGGCAGGCGGGGCAGGGTAGGCACAACAGGGAGCTGATTCCCCTGGGTCCCTGTCACTCCCCTGCCCCTCAGTGGGGAGCCCGCCAGATCTTGTCTGTGTGGCTGGGAGCATGGCCCTGGGTTGGATGGCTGGTGTCTGTGGGCCCACCAGGGTCACTGGCCCTTTAACAAGAAGCTAAGGAAGGAGGGCTCCTTTGAGCAGAGCTTTGAGACCCCTGCCCCCTGGAGAAGGGAAAGGAGGTTTCCCAACAAGAGGAGACCCCAGAGTGGCATTGGGGCTCAGCCCTTGTCACCCACGTGGGACACTCCAACATGGGGCAAAAGCCTCAAGGGCTCTGACTCCTACTTGGGGGTGGGGGTTTCCCAGGTGAAGGATCTTGTGTTACTTTTATTATTACAACAAACTCCTTTTATTAATTCAGTCCAAGTATGTCATGAGCTGATTATCCCCAGAAATCTATTTATCTGCAGGTCTATGGAACAGCTGATGTTCTGTGGTGTCCTAAAACTGAATTAATTCAGATCTGTTCAGCCCAGAGCAACAGTGTCAGCAGATGAATCCATCTGCTTGGACCTCGAGAGGAGAGCGGCCAGCGTCCTGGCTTCTTCTGCAGAGAGGAGGCACCCTCAGAAGCTGTGGTCAAATCGAGAGCCCAGATGAACCGGAGCCCAGATGCCCGCCAAGGTCCTGAGGTAGCCTTACGTGGGCGGCAGAGAAAGACTCGGCAGAGCGATCGGGCCTATCAGAGGGGCGTGGCCAATGTACTAAAAGAACTAAGCACTGCAGGTGCACTATCACCACCAAACAGAGGGGTGAAGAAAAGCACAAGTAGCGTCCATCTGTAGAAACAATTAGCATGGTTTTTCCTCGTATCAGAGAGCTGGGCTCAACATATTCACAGACATGCAGCTGGGCTCCTGGCAGGTGCTGCAGGGAGCTCATTAGCTGCATAGGTGATTTCCTCCCAGCAGTCCATGGAAGCATCTATTACTCATAAGCTGGGAGATTTGGGGTGAAGATAATGGCACTGTGCATCTCCATCCATGTCAGGATTTTTCAGCCCAGAGCTGCTGCTGCTGATCACTTGGGGCAGCGCCCTCGTGTTGTTCTGGCTCTGCTTGGGGGTCAGTGCTCACGGCCCATGACCTTCCAGCCCCTGGAGGTGCCTGGGACACCATCCCTGTCTCACCTACCAACCTGGGCCTGCTCTGAGCCCCAGCCCCTTGGTCCCTCTGCTTCTCAGGCCTGACCCTTGCGTTTAGCTCTGTGCACTGGCTGTGGGACTTCATCACAGGGTGAGGTGGGGAGAGAGACAAAGGGCTGGGGTGGTAGGAGGGAGGTCTGTGGGGCTGCAGTTCACAGAGGCCACCCTCCCCTCAGCGAGAGGACCCTGCTTACAGGGACAGCCTTACCCAGGAGGATGGCTGGTCGGGGCAGTGCAGTGTGCCCGAGCTGGAATATAGCACATCGTCCTTGACCAACACTGAGATGGCTCGGAGGATGAAGGAGAGGAACAGGTTCAAGTGGATGTAGTTCCGGGTGCAATGCAGCTTCCTGTGGTGGAGAGAGGCAGGGATGAGGGGTAGAGGGGTGGGGAGGCAGGGATGAGGGGTGGAGGAAGGGATGGGGTGAGGTGGGGTGGGGTAGGGGTGGGGGAGGCAGGGATGGGGGTGAGAGGGGATGGGGTGGGGGGAGGGATGAACACTTTAATAATTGGATTTAATATTAAGGCTTTCCTTTTTATGGAAGTTTCTATTCCTTCCTGTATGTTCAGGATGTTTTCAGTTTTGCATTATGATAACTATCTTTGTAGGTAAACTTTTCCTTTATTTCTAGCTCCTCAGGTTGGAGTCCTGGAATGGGATTTCAGGATAAGAGTATAAAGCAAACAGTGCTGAGTTCCAAGTCTGCAATGGCATGTACCCACTTCACAGATGTGAAGACTGAATATCTTTGCAGTAAATTTCCTGCAAGACCCATGTCAAATCATCTGCCTTTGAACTTAACTTTATGTGATACCTTCCTTCTCTAAAAAGTGCTCAGAACACTTTGTTTCTAATTCGCTTGTACCACTTAGATTCTGCTCTGGAGAAAACTTAATTGGTATTTGATTTGACTTTTAATTCAGAGCCATCAAGAAACAAGCTACTGCACACAAGTGAATGCTAGCTCTTTAGGTTTCAATAAAGTTAAAAAATGTTGAAGGACATTAAAACACATACTAAGGAAGACTTCTACGAGAGGCAACAAAGAAGCAGCTTATCCACTACCTCCCCCCAGGGGGCCAGCGTGATTTCAGACAGCTGCCTAAGGACCGGGAGAGCAGCCAGAGAGGCCAGGACCCGGAGCACCGAGACCCCGGTAAGAAGAAAGGCCCCAGGATGTGCCCTCCCTCCAGCCTCCACCTTGGTCTCACCTTGCGAGGCCACTACCTACACAGAGATTAGAAAGAGATTCAGATACTGGCATTTTAAGATACGGGACTCTCTTACTCAGATTAATATATTCAAAATAATTGATGAAGAGGTGGAGAATTTTATTAAAGAATGGAGTTGATTACAAAAATCAAATGGAAAGTTGAAAACTCAAAAAGAACCCTGAAATTAATCAAAATGGCTGAGTCTAATATTAGATACAATAAATGAGAGTACCATGAAATAGAAAATAGATCGGTAGAATACGTATAGGCTTCAGTAGAGAGAAACAAAATAATGGAAAGTGATGTAGGGTTCGAAGCCAATGGCCAAGAAAGAATTCTTGAGACGTCTTCCGTGCAAAAAGTGGTTTTATTAAAGCAGGGGGACAGGACACGTGGGCAGAAAGACCTGCCCTGGGGTTGTGAGGAGTGGTCCCTTATATACTTTCAAGTCAGGAGGGGGTTAGGGACAGCGTAAGTCTCTAAGGAATTTGGGAGCAGGTTTCCAGGACCTTGAGGAGGCTGGCTGTTGTTAGGAAAGGGCCATTTACTACTGTCTAGTCAAACCGAGGTCGTGAGACCCTTCAGATGTGTACGGGTGGGCCATGTGCTTGGAGGATGATTGCCAACATGTATCTTGGGGGGTAAAGATAAAGGAAGTTTCCAAAGTAATTTCTTTAATTTTTTTTTAAATTTTATTATGTTGTGTTAGTCACCATACAATACATCATTAGTTTTTTTTTTTTTTTAAAGACTTTATTTATTCACTTGCGAGAGATACAGAGAGAGAACAAGCAGGGGGAGGGGCAGAGGGAGAGGGAGAAGCAGACTCCCTGCTGAGCAGGGAGCCCGGTGCGGGACTCGATCCCAGGACCCTGGGATCATGACCTGAGCCGAAGGCAGACGCTTAACCGACTGAGCCGCCCAGACGCCCACATCATTAGTTTTTGATGTAGTAATTTCTACATGTTAAGGTAGACTCAGGATCCTGGGGGTCAGGCTAAGATTGCCTTTTGCCCTTAGCAAAATATTAACAACCAGTCATCCCTAGAGGAAGGTCACTCTGCCTGTTTCAAGGACTTGTCAGTGGGCTGGAGGTGGTAAGGAAATATAATAATTTTTCTTCTGCCTTTGTTTCCCACATCAGGAAGTATAGAAACAGAGTAGGAGATATATGGGGAATGGTGAAAACACTGTTGAACACATAAGAATGGAGTTTCAGAAGGAAAGGAGAGACAATAAGGTAAAAGCAACATTTAGAGAATACTAGCTAAGAATTTTTGGAAACGAAAAAAATAATGAGATTAAAGAAATGCCATTAACCCCAAGAAGGACAAATACAAAGCAAACCACATTAAGTCCCATGATAGTGTCACTGCTGAAAACCAAAGACAAGTAAAAAAAGCTTCTAAGCACCCCAAGAAAAAAGATATCTTCCTTCAGTGGAACAGTGATGAGACTGGCTGCTGACTTTTTTTTTTTTTTAAAGATTTTATTTACTTATTTGAGAGAGAGAGAGAGAGAGAACAAGCCGGGGAGAGAGGCAGAGGGAGATGGAGAAGCAGGCTCCCCGGTGAATAGGGAGCCCAATGTGGGGCTCGATCACAGGACCCTGGGATCATGACCTGAGTCGAACACGGACGCTTCACTGACTGAGCCACCCCGGCGTCCTAGGCCGCTAACTTTTAAAAAGAAAAATGATGTTCATTTTTAGTGTGATGAGAGAAAAAACTGCCAAGAAAGAATTCAATACTCTCAAAAATATCCTCAAATGAGGCAAAATTAAGATGATTTCAGGTGATCAAAAACCACGAGCCCTCATTGTCAGTAGGCCTGTGCTGAAGGAAATCCTACAGGGGGTCTGCAGGCAGAAGGAAGATGACCCTGATGAAGACACAGGAGGAAGGGAGAGCCTCGGGAAAGATAGACACATGGCATCTCCAAGTAACCACTGACCGTAAACGACAGCTATAATGCCTACAGCCTTAAAATAGACGTCAGATTAAAATACATTACAATAACACAAAAGGCATGAGGGGGCAAATGGAATGAAAATGTTGTCAAGTCTTGAATTGACTGGGAAGTGGAAAAAAAGTGATTGGAAGTTAACTCCTACGAGACAAGGATGTGTGGCAATTTTGGGAGATGCCTAGAAGCAGCAGAACAAAATGTATAACCGACAATCTGAAAGGGGGAAACTGGAATAATAAAAAAAAGGAAACACGAGATGAGTGTGAAAGCCTGCCCCTCCCCCCAGAAGCCGGTGTCTGTCCCCCACTGGCCTGTTCCCACTGCTCCTTATGAGGGCTGGGCTCACCTCTCAAAGACCTCTGCTCTCTGCTTTCTCCTCCTCACTCTCTCCTGCCCATGTCTTCCCCTGAGTGGGGGCTGGGATTTATGGCGGTCTCTCAGACCTGAGCATACACTCACTCCAGTTGGCAAGCCGTCCAAATAAATTATGTTTGCTGAGTTTCTGAGCGATGCTCTTCATTACTCGTTGCTCATTGTAAAATCTCACTTCCAAGTATGGATCTACACAGGACGATGGATGTAGCTAAAATTGGGGCTTCCAGAGAAACTATGCTGGAATCTGCTCCTTCCTGGCGGCTGGAAATGGAACCCCAGTTCCTGAAGGTGAGATGGTGAACAGAGGTGCGGGCAGCACCTTTCTGGGCTGTCCTGCTCTAACTGGTAACATGGGGACAGGAACAGCACTGACCTGCGGGAGCTGCCATAAGGGACTAAGTTAATGAACACCTATACAGTGTGCAGTGTGGTGTGTGTTGTTAGCAATCTGGGCTTGTGGGGACCGGAGCTGCATTGTCAGGTGCCTGGACATCAAAGACGGTGGCTGCAAGGACTGCCCAGTGAGTCCCACGCAAAACTAGGTGGTGTGTTTGTGATCCAAGTCTATGCTGAGATTTGGACCTGCCTTAGGAGACAAGTTGCTCTGTTTCTCTGTGTGTAAAATAAGAGCGTGGTTACTTAATGCTTTCTTAGCTATGGGGCTATTATGGACAGTAGATGCTTCATGGTTGTAAAAAGTTGTTTCCTGGGTAGAATTTCCAGGATGACGAAATTGTTTTTAGAATACGGAGTTTGGAATTGACACTTGTGGCATCGGACAGGCAAGCACAGCTGATGGACAGAGGCAGGAAGGTTCAAGTCTCTGTGGCCCAGGAGGAAGGCAGACCCGTGAACCGTAACACCAGCTCCTGGCACTGGTCCCAGCAGCCAGGACACACCGAACACGGCAGAAGGACATACACAGCAGGTGTCACCAGTAGGTGACTAAGGATGTGCGTGTAGGGAACACTGTTTGACATTCATGAAACCATTTGAGATTCTCTTATATACCAACATCCACATTTGCAATAATTCAAAATACCTGTAGGCTGGCTAATTAAATATGTCATGCATTGCCAATCCCAGGTGAACTGCCGACGTCAAGAACATGGATTGTTCAAAATGGGGGCTCTTTAAAACTAAGCTGTAACTTTTCCAGTTCAAGTTACCCTGTGCCAGTTTGCCTCCCTAACTTTTTCCTTTCTTTTTTTTTTATCTTCAACAATTTGAAGATTTAAAAATGCATAGTAAAACACAGAAGATAGTAGAATAGAATAGATATTAATGTTGCACAGGAGTTTCTATTCTTTTCTTTCCAGAACTAGAATATGATGGACTGTCCCCACATTTTCCAAAGTATAAGCTCATCATTACAGCTGCTGGCTTACTCTTTCTGAGGATTCCCACCCTCCTGATGGAGTTGAGATGCCTGGAAAGTATATTACAGTTGATGAGTTTCTCAGCTACAATAGTCTTTACTTGTTTATTTCCAAGTATGGATCTCCTAATGGATTATCTGTTGGTTTCTGAAATATTCCATTTGTTATATTTTTGTTTTTATCTGAATACTGGCCAACATCTGAAATATATTTGCATAAAGAGAAATAAGACCTGTGGTGATCAAATTCCTGTTAAAATAAGAGGAATATCATCTGGTTTATTTAGTGCTGGGGATATTCAAGTCACAGATTTAGTCCTGAATATACTTATTAGCTTTTCCTAGACAGACACTTCTGTTCTGAAACCAAAGCCTCTACCTTTAACCCCAACCAACCAGCTATATACACTGCATGTCATTAGTTACCAAAAAGACCTACTGGAGGTCCGGGTGGGTGGGAACTCTAACTGCACAGCAGGGAAAAAACTGGCAAAATTCAGAGTGCTTCCCACATGCCACATAGCTTCATTAGCACACACACTTTGCAGATCACAGAGAGGTTAAGTAATTTGTCCAAGGTCACACAGCGACTGAGAGACTGACCCAGGATTCGAATCCAGACATCTGGCTCCTGCCTTCATACTCTTGAACACATTATAGTGTCTCTTAACACTCTTAGCACCAATGGGCAAGATCACGTTTCTTCCGTATTTTCAAAGGATTTGCATAATGGCTAAGTATTTAGTAAACAGCAGTTGAACTGAATTCTTATAGCCAAAGTCAGTATTATCTCTTTATATAAGAAATGCAGAGTATTTAAACAAAAATGTAAATATTAGCATCATATTTCACACTAGCATTCTCCAAGGGAGTTTTATTGGTTTAACACAGAGAGAGAGGGCTTGGAAACAGCGAATTTCTTTCCTCTTCTGATGGACCTAAGTGGCTTAAACAGCAGAATTGCTCATTTCTGATACTTACCTGAGGAGGCAAAGAATTATGCTTCCGGTTGTAAGGGAAATCAGAGAGACACTGTAGCCCAGCGTGTAAATGGCCTTCACCAGAATGTAGAACGTAATCTACAAAGAGGGAACAAAACAGCTGTGAGGTTTTGGTGGTCAGCACTGGACCAAGCAATGCTTCCTTCACGCGGGCCCTCACTGCCTGTCTCGGGGCACACCAGACAGCGTCAGCCCACCTCCATTCTGAACCCAAACATTTTATTCTCTTTAAATGCCCACCTATTTCCTTAAAATTCATTCTGAGTGACTGTGTGGAGCAGGGAGAGGGATGACCTGGGGGGGTCCCCAACTTCGCTCTCTGATCACTATTAAATATGTCATGCATCACAAATCCGAGGTAAACTGCCAATGTCAAGAATATGAAATAAGCTGAAATTTTTCTAAAAAATATTTTCTAAAAATAAACTGAAACCAGAGGGGGCTTGGAGGGTGCTTCCCATGAGAGAGTCCCAGAAACCACAGGGGACTGCTTTGAAAATATGTCCTGACCTAACTGGGTTTTGCTGCTCTGGACCCCGTGAGGAGTGAGGACCCAGGGGACATTCTGCACTGGCCCTGATTTCTCCATAGCCCTGTTCACGAACCAGCTTAGTGTAAACTCTAGAGAGGGGATGGTGCGCACCGAGCCGATCCCCAGCCCTGGGGTCAGCCAACAAACACTGGGGTAGGAGGGACGGCCTTACTCCTGTAGCTTCGTGGGGCTTGGCAGCATCTGCAGGTCAGCGGACCCCTGCAGGCTGGTCTGCACTCACCGTCCAGGCCCATTGTTGTTCTTTACCATCAAGGTGATGCCCTTTTGAGGAGAGCTTTCCCTCTCCTTATTACCCTTATTATTGAAGACTCAATATGGGTAATGACATATTTCAGAAGTAAACTACAAAATTTGGAAAAAATGAATTCCTAGTTAATATTTAATGATAAAATGAAATTAATTGGTATAGCCTCTCAAATAGTTCAGGCAATCAAGGTTAGCATGAAGCTTGACCTGGTAAGCTAATGTATTAATCTGATTTTAGAAGCGTTTTTCCTTGTTAAATCTCAAGGTCCCGTTGTCATTCTTTTTAGCTCAAGAAGAGAGGAGATGTCATGCTGGCATTCTGAAAACGTCCCTGAAAACTCTAATTTTAAGTCTTTGTCCACATTCTATATTCTGTTCTGAGTGAGAGATTATAAATAGGACTGGGGCATCCTGAGCAGCTTTTCACCATTTCGTCTTGTGATCAGAGCTCACATTAAATAACTGGAAAAGGCAATATTTCAAACCTACCAAAAGCATAGAAAACAATATATCTATACTTAACGAGTACGTATCATGTATCTAATATACCCATAACATGTAATACAAACTATACATGTAATAACAGATAGTATCTATAATATACCTACCAACAATCTCCAACCAGAGGGACAACTGAGCAAGACGGCGGGGAGACCCCAGGTAGCCGCTTCCCTGATGCTGGGGTGCTGGCACCCAGGGTGCCTCCACAGGGCGTGGGCACGACCTTGCACTGTTCCGACCTTTCTGATGCGTTCTCTTCTGCGCGTGGACTGCACGTAACTTTTATCACCCATCAACTGTGTCGTCTGTTGTCCAGTATTGGCTTCATGTGTTTTTAGTCCCTCGGCCCAATTGTACCACTGCTCTAAACGGTCAGTCTTTGCTGGGTTCCCTTGTTTGTTCATTCCTTGATTGTTGCTTCATCCTTTCTCGATGCTCAGTTCTTTTTTCTGTCTTCATTTTCCCCCTGAAGCCCATTTCCTGGGCATTTTTAATGAGAGTCTGCTGACTGTGGATCCTGTCGGTTTGTTTTCTGACCAGCCTCTTTCCCTCGTATTTCCGAGTGGACATTCCTCTTCTCCAGGCCCTGGGAAGGTATCTGCCGCCTGCCTTGTGGCTTGCATGTGCATGGGCCATCGGGCTTCGCTCTCCGGCATCTTCTGGCAGCTGTGGGGTTCTCTATGTATGTGGGGTGGTCAGGCTCCCCGAATGGGACAATTGGTGCCTCGCCCGAGCTGTCACCCACTGCATTTTCTCCGGCCAAGCCTGCAGTCACACTGACCTCCTGCCCCGAGCGGTGCTGTCTCCTGCCCGTCCTCCCCGCTGCCACCGCTCCTGTGCTCTTGGAGCCCACACTCCCCATCCCAGAACTCTGGTACCTAAGTCCTGTGTAATGTATCTTCTTGACTTTCATGTTTAGGTCTATTTTTTCCCATATAAGGTCTGGTAAGAGCACCTCGTTCCAGGTTTATATTTTTAATTTCCACTTTTTTTAACATTTCAAATGCACTTATTTGCATTCTATGCCTGATGACTCCATTATCTGAAGTTCTGAGGATGTAATCTGTTTGTCATCTGCTGACTTTCACTCACAGTGGCTTTTTCTTGGTGTGGTCTGTGCATTTGGAATATAAGCTTGTCTTCGGAGTGGACCTATGGGAATTTGTAAGGTCTTGGCAAAGATGCTTCCTTCCAGGAGCACCTGTGTTCACTTCTGCCAGGTACCCCCCACTGCTTCCATTCAGGACTCCTTACATGAGTGTCTCAGCTCAGAGCTGCCATACCACGCACAAGACAGAAATGGGAAAACCCAACCTGCAGGAGGGCATGCCCGTGGTGACAGATTTTTAGATTTTCCTCCTGGAAAGTGAAGTTTCCCTGTCACCTCCATGGTCAGATTTTTGGTCTAGCTCTCAACTCCAGCCGCCCACCACCATTCACACCTGCATACTGCTCATCCCAGCTCTTCATAATGATCCAGCAGTTGCCCCAGAAACCAGCTGCCCCTGCTGCCTGGCACCTGATTCTCAGCTCTTTTATTGAGATTTTTTTACTTTCTTGAAATCTCAGCTGTGCATTTTAAAGCAACACTGTTATACTTTAGCATTTTTGAGTGATTTGTACTAGGAATTTTTTACCTCCAATTTCTTATAGAAGATTTTTATTTCTTGCTGAACATATTTGGTATTACTGGTTAATTTAATTCATTCTGTTCAACGCATTTACTCAGCGCTTAATTGGAACCAGACACTGAGTAAGGTGTCTTGGGAACAGGATGAGTGAGAGAGAAGGGTCCTGCCCATGAGGGACTCATAGACATATTTTCACCACTGGACTGACTGTCCCGGGAGATAATGCATGAGCTAGAAATTGAGATAGGTATAAATTAAAACATTTTTTCTGTGTTCACTTAAAAAAAAAGAATATCCACATTTCAATTTATATTGCTTTGCTTAAAAATGGTTTAGATTTTACGTTTCTCATGTTTTCAGTCATTTAAGAAGGCTTAATCTGGTTATTTGCAAATTGCCTCTGTTAAGGGCTTTGAGAAGCAGAGTACACTCCAGGGCAAGCTAGAAACCTCAAATAAAAGGCAGCACTGGGGAAGCTTTACCAGAACAGAACGCAAAACAACCACCTAACAGCTGAGCAACGCCAGAACCAAGGCTAAAGGCCACAGAATTACGTGCAGTGCTTAACGGACAGGAAACTTTCTCACAGCCAACTTTTAAGAGAATGAGGCATATCACAAGAAAACAATCTGGGGTCTTTGCTCAAGAAGGTAGGATGAACAACTTTTGGGGTTTTTCTGTGTACATCTAATCTCCTGTATTGCTACCTATGTGGACAGAACTGAAGAATAAGAATTACTGTTTAGAACACGAACCCTAAAGAACCGTGTGGAGTTCTCCATCTTTGATGCAGTTTAAATTTATTTTCATTAGCAGTGGCTAAAACCAGCTACGTGGTTTCAAGAGCTGCACAGTGGGTCTGCACGGTGCTTTTGTTTCTGGGCTCCAGGACCTTCCCAGCCTCTGCCTCCTGATCCAGCTTCCTTCCCCAGGGTCCCCCACCCTCAGAGACCTGCTTTCTCCTCTTGGTGGGGCCATGATGTTAGGATCCATACCAGTGGTTCTCCAGTGTGACCCCCCCAGACCAGCAGTAACAGCATCACTTGGGGACTTGTCCAAATGCAAACTCTCAGACCCCACCTGTCCATGGCTGCCCCAGAACCAGAAGCCTGCAGTGATTCTGATGTGGCTCGTTCCAGAACCTCTGGTCTACACCACAGACAGAATTAAAATGTACATGAGACCTTTCCTGTGCCTGCTGAAAACGCTCCACAGAGCCCCTTTGCTTGTGAGCAAAGCTGTGTGCCCCCGTGAGGCAGCTGCCAGCCCCTCCTCACACTCAGGTCCCTCTAACAAGAGGGCAGCCTCCGCTTGCTGCCTTCATTGCTATGCACAGGCTGTGTCTCAGCATTTCCATCCTGGCTCTCCTACCCACCACTCAGCATTCATATCAGGGTCTTCCTCTCCTACCCACCACTCAGCATTCATATCAGGGTCTTCCTCTCCTACCCACCACT